ATGGTCTAACTATTCACAGTGATGCCTCTGCTAAACTTATGGGACACACAGCTGCACACAAAGCCAATCTGAACCTCAATATGGATGGCCTGACTACCAGTGGCACAACCTCACTGCAAAGCGCCTTTACTATGGAGGAGGTTAAGCAGACCTTTGAGATCAACTACAAAAATCTAACTGCCACTGCTAAGTGCAAAACAATTGGAAATATCATGGGAACACGCATTAACCACAACACTGAACTGCAGATGGCTGGACTTTCTGGCAGAATCAAGAATCGTGTACGTTTCAACTCCATGGTGTTTAATGTTGAAACCAACACTTACGGTACAACTATTCCATTCAGTTTCAAATTTGATGCCTCTGCTAATGGTGATAATGACATATACCTGTATGGACACAGTAATTGTGAGTTTAATGCACAAATCCTCCTGAAAGTAGAACCACAATCGATTGCTCATTCTCATGAATTCAAGATCTCAACGCTCCTTGACATAGACAGTGTCAACATCAAATCACATTTTGAGAGCAAGTCTGACACTCTGCTGATCCCATCTGAACAAAAGACTAAAGTGACTGTTAAAGCTGACGTGAACAACAACACCATCAATCAGGAAATAAGCGGTTACAATACTCCAGCACAGTTTGGGCTGGAAGGGTCTGGAACAGTGCACACCAATTTGTTCAACACTGCCAATACTGCTTACCAGGACTTTGAGGTCTCTGGCTTCCTAAAGTATGGCAAAAGCAATGACAGACATTTAATTAGCTTGCCTTTCCTTGATGGTTTGCTTCTAGTTCCTGACAACATCAGAATAACACTTGTAAGCATAGGCGAGACCCTGAGGAATTACATCAATAAAGAAGGGATTGCTTCCAAAATTCATAACTTATCTCAGCATGTTAGTGACTTTGTGTCTAATTTGAACTTTGAGAGAAGAGCTGTCCAGCTGAAATGTACCTTGATATCTCTATCCCAGGAGTTTGCATTAAAGCTGGAAAATCTGGTGGCCTCTCGAATCGGTGCCTTTGCGAAACTAGTGAGTGATATAGGCAACCGTTTCAGTGAGGCACTGGAATTGACTGTGAAGGGTATGCTGGTTGAAAATGTAGTACCAAAGCACATTAGTACTTTGATATTTTCCATCACTGAGGATGTTAAAATATTTCTTAGCTCGATCACCACCCAAAGTTACACAAAGCTGAATGAGATCTTCCGTCCTGCCAATGCTGAGAACAACAAACCTGACAGTCCTCTTCAGATTCCTTCAGTTTCAACAACACTTCTAGTGCCATCTTTTGGAACGCTGTATGGTGAGGTCAGATTCAGCAGCCCTGTATACAACGTCAGAACCTCTGCAGAGTTCAAGAACGCCTCAGAGAGACACCCTCTGTTCACGGCTTTTATTTACACTAAAGGAACCTCTCCGAAACATAACATTCTGAATTACAATCTAGATTCCACTGCACAGATATCTATGCCTAAAATGAGTCCTGTAACAGTGTCTGAAACTCTCAAGTTAACACACGTTTATTTGACTTTAGATCAACAGGCATCATCGACTCTGAATGGATCTGCCTCTAACAATGTTAATTCTTCATCTTTCTCTCTTGAAACTTTATACAAGCACCAGGTGAAAATCCCCTCACAGTCTTTGTCTGGTGACGTCACCCTGATTCAGAACACTATAGCTTTCCAGGATGGTGCTGCAATCACCCTGACAGTTAAAAATGAAGGATCTAGCAAATTTACTCTTGAAGACTTCTCTGAGGAAGGCACCCATAAGAGTGACCTGCATTTTAACATGGGCCTTAGCACCGCCAAGCTGACTTTCACAGGCCACACTGACAGCGCACATTTGCAGATGAAAATGAAGGTGAATGCTGATGCTGTTGCTCTAAGCCACTTTGAATTCAATGCTCGTGTTGAAACAGAGTCGCCATTTATCAAGAACAGTTTGCTGGTTGCTTCTGGAAAGGCTTGCTTCAGTGATTTGAGTATAGAAATCAGTGCAGCCCATGACACCGAGCTTGTTGGACCTGTCAGCGGTGTCCTCTCTAACACTGCAAACATCATGACTTGTCCTTGCGCGGTTGATATTCACTTTCAGAACAAGGGTAATGCCAAGATCAAACTCTATGAGTCTTTGTTAACCACTGTTGCTCTCCAGAATGACTACACTTTTATCTTCAACCCTGACCTACAAGAATTTAGCACTGTGGCAGTTGCCTCTTTCAACCATTTCAACTACAGCCATAACTTCACAGCTAACAATAACGAAGCAGAGATGGGTATTCACACTGTTGTGAATAGTGTGGCCAGCTTTGAGTTCTTAAATGCTGCAGAAATGTTCGTGCCAACCATTTTCAAGATTCCAGCAGTCAAAAAGCTGAAACTGAATCATGACCAACCCATTGATCTAAATGCCAAACTTGTCTACCAGAAGAGTGGGTTTGCTCCTTTACTGGGCAACCTGGTCTCTGAGGTGTCTTTCAAGTCATCTATTCTCAACCTCAGTGCTAATACAGGTGTTTATCCGAAGGATTGCTTGATGCATGTTAGTGCCACAACTGCCTCTGTGTTTCAGGAACTGAATTCCAAGCTTGATGGATCCACTAGCCTGACCACAAAAAGTGGACTAAAACTGGCCTCTTCTTTGTCTTTGGAGAATGCTCACATTGAGAGTAATCATAACAGCACCATGACTCTGGAAGACAACTTTGAGGCTGTATTATCTGTGGACACAGTTGCTAAGATTCATACAACAAGCTTCACTGTTAATGCCGCTCATCAGCTTTTTGCTGACACCAAGGCCCATCCAAAGGCAGAATCAAACTTGACAATCAAGTACACCTTCAATCAGTCAGACTCAGAGGCTGCTGGACATGGAGATGCTAAGAATACCTTGAAGCTGGATGCAACTCTTTCCTATATCACCTTTGAGTCTGTAAGCCAAATAACCTCCAATTCTACATCCCCTGATGGTGTCACAATTAAGGGAACACTAGATAATGAAGCTAACATCTATGTGAAAGCTGATGGTCTGAAATCCAATCTGAAGACCACTGGAAATGGATGCATTGGTTTTAGATATTCCAAGTTGTGGTTTGACATTAATGACCTGCTGACTGTGGAGGGAGAACTTGACCGTATGTATTCTTTGCTAGAAATTAATTCAAACTATACATATATTGATGGTGGAGATTATGACCTTGCAATAAATCACACTGCTCGTGGTAAAACTGATCTTGTTCCCCTGAGCACCCTCATGGCTGCTGTAGACATATTCTTGACTCAGCCAAGTTATAGAGATTTTGATGTAAGATATAAAGAAAGTACTTTTTCATCAAACAGGCTTGCATTCAAAACAGAGACTTTCTCTCGTTGGTACAATTCAAGTACAGCAATATCAGGAGATAAGTTTAATGATTTACCTAATGCGGTTGTGTATGACTGCTCTTACAATCTCACTTCTCCATCTATGCTTCTGGAGTATCAGGGTGGCTTGCGTATAATTCCCATTTACCACAATTAATTATTGTTGAAAACAAGAAAAGGTATTGAACTATACATTGGTCGTTATTTACTGTATGCTTGCTTACCTTAGACCTCATAATCACAGACAAGCAGAGCCAGAATAAATGTAAAAGTCATTCTCAAGCACAATGATGGAAGCATGTTAGTCATTCTTATAAAGCCCTGAAATATTGCTTGTCCCAATCAACAATAAATGGATCCAATCCTTTTACTTGACATATACTCAGTTTTACTTCACTGAAAAAAAATCTACATTAAATTCTATTTTTGAAAATGTTTAGCATTTTGTGCTGTTTATTGTTTACACACACACACACACACACACACACACACACACACCGGTTTGTTTTTGTGAATTGTGGGGACATTCCATAGGCTTAATGGTTTTTATACTGTACAAACTGTATGTGCTACTGCCCTACTACACCAACCCTACCCCTAAACCTACCCCTTACAGGAAACTTTCTGCATTTTTACTTTCTCAAAAAAACAAACAAAAAAAACTCACTCTGTATGATTTATAATCGTTTTGAAAAATGGGGACATGGGGTAATGTCCTCATAAGTCACCTTCTCGTTGTATTACCTATGTCATTATACAAATTTGTGTCCTCATATGTCACAAAAACGCACACACACACACACACACACACACACGCACACATATAGTTTTAGTCCAATGCGATAACTTTAACTAACACTGGAAATCATCCGAATGACCAGAACACAACGTTATGGTTAAATGCGGGTAATTACAATTACAATTATTAAACAAGTTTTCTTGTTCAAGAACAAAATTCTCCTCACCTAAACGAGAACAGCACCGCATACCAACGGCTTTTGCAACGGTTATATATTTAAATATTTATGACGTAATACAAAATCAGCCTATCAAATGAATGCTCTCAATTTATCAATGAGTATTTCTTATTATAATTGTTGTTGTTGTTTTTGTAATAATAATAATAAAAGCTATATGACCACCAATATCATCATATCCATATACTGATATCATCCAATAAATTTAACTTCTGTACCATACTTTTATCGCTCGAGAAACGTTGTAAAAGTTGTTATGGAAACAGTGATTTATTGAGATTTAACTCTCACAACAAGGCTTGCTTAGAAAATACAAAGATATAGGAGTTGCCTTTATGCTTTTACATTTTTATAGAACACGGTCATTGTTTATAAATAAAATATGAAATGTAAAAATTGTTTTAAGCCATACCATGTAACTTTATGTAGGGCTATTCCGCATTAATAAAGGGTGTTTATTGTTATGTAACTTTTATCAAGTCCATCCAGACTTAACTGTTTACTTTCTTCTTTATGAAATATCTAATTGAAATCCAAGACATCTTTATATACACACAACGAAAATAAAAAATGCATTACGCGTAGAGCATATTACGCGACGTGCTGAGGAACGTCAGTTCCTACGTCATAGTCACGTGGTAACATTTGAAATTAAACCTCGAATCGCACAACAACAACAACACTACTGTACTGTCAGCAAACAGCATATTGGAAATATTATTCAAGCGAACTGCGACGAAACAGGAATATTTGATGACTTTCGGAGGTATAGTCGTGACTTTTACAACTTATAAATGTAATACAGGCGCTACTATAATGTTTTGACGGTTTGAACATGATTAGCTAGTAGCTGTAACGTTAGCTGTAGACTGACAGTTAATGAATATGAACCCAAGCGCGTTATTTCTAGTGTTTGGAGTGCTAACAACCATGTTGTATTGATTTAAATCACAGGTAACATCGCTCAGGATGTCTTTAGAGTTTGAAAAACTGTCGACTCACAATTGGAGGTAAGAAGTGAATGCTAAAGCTAATGAATATCGTTATGTTTTTACTGTTGTGACTTAAATGACTGATTTTGTACATGTCTACCAATTTGAGCCGCCCTATTTGCAAATATTATCCATTGACCACTAGTTAAATTACAGTTAAATTAATTAAATTAATATTTTCTGGAAAATCTGGCTAATTTGGAACTGACATTCCAGCTGACAGAGAACGTTGAATAACGTTCTTGCAAGTTTCTCAAAGTTCTTTGAGGAACGTTAGTAAAATGTTCTTTTAGAGGTCTCTGGTATTTAATAATCTTATCAAAAAGTTAGCGCAAAAACTAACATTTGTACATTGTTCATGAAACATTTTTTCCATATTGGACATGACCATTTTTAAAATGTTACTACTTGTTTTAGAACGTTCAGAGAGAACATTCAAAAGTAGAGTTCCCAAAATTATGTTGTAAAATTATGAAGTGCAGTGTTCCCTTAAAGAGAGAGTTCACCCAAAAATGAAAATTCTGTCATTAGTTGACGGTAGCCATTGACTTCCATAATATTTTTTTCCATACTACGGATGTCAACGGCTACCGTCAGTTCTTTGGTTACCAGCATTCTTCAAAATATTATCATATTTTGTGTCCAACAGAAGAATTAATCTTATACCGGGTTTGAACAACTTGAGGATTAGTATATGATAACAGAATTAACGTTTTTGGGGGGAACTATCACTTTAACGTTTACATACCCCAGAAAGAAAAGTTTTTTTAACGCGTATATGCAATTGGGCATTTTGAACTTTTAGAGAAAATTCATAAATAAAGTTTTCATAACTTAATGGACCCTTTTCACAAGACTGTGGTTAACCCAACTATGACGACTTCTGCTGCTGAGAAACCCGGAAATGTGAAAAACGGAAGAAAAAAAAAGGTCCACGGGACTGTTAGCAGAATGCTCTTAGAACATATTTTTGTTAGCTGGGATAGAACTAGTGCTGCTGTTAATGGGCCAAACAGACTCAGCTATTGGCTCGTAATGGCCAAATATCATTCCACATCATGCCTGTCACGATAACAACTTTTTGTTGTGCGATATATTGCCCCATAAATAATTGCGTTAAGTGATATTATTGTCATTTTAAGACCATTTTATGTTAATGTATAATCATAATATAACCGCAGTAGAGCCCAACCGATATATCGTTTAGCCGATATTATCGGCCAATATGAGCCTGTCGCCGATATATCGGTATCGGCGGATATGCCGCCGATATGAATTTTTTTTTACAGAACATATAACGCAGATAAAATGCTTGAAATGGTGTAATTACTTAGTTTGTCCAGCAGAGTGTGCGCCATTGTTTGCTACTGGTGACCTGGATGAAACGCTTTAAAGCTTGAGTCTATGGAAAACCATTGAAACTTTGAACGGCCATATCTCCGTAACAGCGCAGCGAATACGCACCAAATTCGGGGGATCCCTTCAACTCGAGAAACCCTCTCGAACGCCGAATCGAGTGTACGTCTAGAGGCCCTCTTTCGAATGAGACCACCCCCGCGTCGCTGGAATTTATATTACATATCTCTGTCACCATTATAAGTGTTTGATCACCACATTTGAGTGATCATTGCAAAAAATGTTTATGTATATATATTCTGTTTACGAATATACTGTATTCTATATATAGTACCAGTCAAATGTTTGGTCACACAAATGAGAAAGTGTCCAAACTTTTGACTGGTACTGTACTAGTGTTGTCACGGTACCAAAATTTCAGTATTCGGTACCGATACCAGTGAAAATCCACGGTTCTCCTGGTACCGTAACATTTTCATTTTTTTAGTACCGACTTGGTACCGAAATACCGGGTCTTTTGACAACACTATACTGTACTATAATATACACAAAGAATATCGGCCGATATATATCGATATCGGCTTTTTTTTTTACTCCCTAATATCGGTATTTTGCCCAAAAAACCCATATCGGTCGGGCTCTAAACAGCATAATAATGCAAGAAGGCCTACACACTTTGTAAACATGTAATTCTTAAGAATATTTAGATCATGGAATTTAAGTATCAAAATATTAGATACCTTAAAAAACTTGAATAAATAGTAAATAATAAACATTTTCTAACAAAAAGTGCCACAAAGAACTTGTATGGAGATTTTTCCATCTACAGATTTTCTTTTCTCTGTAAATTAAGGGTGCACACTATTGCTGAAAAACACAATCACTACTTAGCAGCAGATGTCTGTATGCACAAAGGCACAGATCCCTAAACAAGACCATATCTGCAGATGAAGCTTTTTTTGGTAGAAGCATTTTTTAAATTTGAACGAGCACCTCATGACTACACCACGTTAGGTACGAGAAGCTGCAAAAGACACAGGCGCAAGTGGAATGCAAAAAAAACATTTTTTTGATGTTATTGTGTTTTTTGTAATGTTTTTATGTAAATATAATGGGCAATATTGCATCACCGAAAATTGTGGTCATGTGCATATATGTGACCCTGGAGCACAAAACCAGTCTTAAGGTGATCTTTACCTAATATCCTAATGATTTTTGGCATAAAAGAAAAATCATTCATTTTGACCCATACAATGTATTGTTGGCTATTGCTACAAATATACCCCAGCGACTTAAGACTGCTTTTGTGGTCCAGGGTCACATATTGTGCGATAAGTCGATATATTGATTATTGCGACAGGCCTACATATATCTGTCTGCTACTGTTTGAATTGAACTCTCACCTCATGTTTTGTAACCATGATGACATTTTGGCTTCCACCGAAGCGCTTCAGGCGTCCCGTCCCAGACGAGCCAGGTTCAGGAGGAGCATGCGTCTCAGCAGGAGGGTCATGTGCAGATCATGTACTGTAAAGATCAGGTGTATCAGGAAGACGCAGAGTTCAGCTTCGAAGAGCTCCGAGCGCTGCGCCACTACAAATCTTTGAGCGGTACGTCCAGATGCTGTTAGACATGCTTTAGTAAACATTCACATGTCATGGATACCTCAATCAAATGTATGAAATCAGTGCCAGTGCCAAATAAGTCTTGGTCCAAAGTTATTATAGTAAAACCAAAACCCTTTGCTAGGGGAAAAAATACTTTTATTTATTTTATTTTTTTAAATTTTTGTCTGGTTTTCTGGTACAAATATCTAAACATTCTTAAGATATGTTTACTTGAGAATCAAAATGACAAACAATATCAAGTCTTGTTTTCTGAAAAATGTATCAGAATTATGTGAGTTTATGCTTTAAATAAGAAGAAATGAACAACAACAGTAACAAAAAAATAAAGTTAATTCAAAGGGAAAACAAGATTACTTTTTTGACCCCATTGACAGATATTTTGTCTATTTTAGGTTTAAAAAACTCACTTAATATATAAACTTCAACTTGCATTTCTCATTTTCATTTAAAATCTAAACTGATGTACTAAAATAAATAAAACTAACCGAAATAAAAATGAATAAAAACTACACAACTACATAATTGCATGCATATAAAAAAAAACACACAACAAAATTACTATAATTAAAGTTTAAATGAAAACTGAATGTATATACAGTGGGTACGGAAAGTATTCAGACCCCCTTAAATTTTTCACTCTTTGTTATATTGCAGCCAAGGGGGTCTGAATACTTTCCGTACCCACTGTATATATATATATATATATATATATATATATATAAGTTCAGAATATTAATAAAAACTAATAGTATCTCAATGATACTAAAATGACACTGTCTTGGTCTTAATTTGCAGTACCATTCATTTATTTATTTATCAGTTTTGAGTATATGTTTTCTATTTTATTTTAGTTTTTATGTTTGTATTTTTTATTTTCATTTTAAAAGTTACATTGTCATTTTTGTCTTTTTATTAGTTATCTTTTAAAATGTAGCCTATTTAATTTTTATTTCAGTTTTAGTTATTTTAGTACATCAAGTTAAACTAAATGAAAATGAGAGATGTTTTGGTAGCTGGAAAAAAAAAATTCATTAATGTAAAAATGTTTGTTTAACTTATTTTTTTAAGATTATAGTTTTAGTTAATTATAATAATCCTGGATTAGACCATGTAGCCATTGTAATTTGTTTTTCATGACTCTTTAAACGTACAGAAAGAGCCTCACACCTGCAGAAACTGAAGCAGGACCTGCAGTGTCAGATTGAGCAGAAACAGAGACTCATTCAGCAGAGACACAGCACAGCAGAGAAACAGCAGGTACATCACCCGTTATACTCCGTTTCTGAGGTTTTGATTCAGAGATTTCTTTGGAGAGACATGAGTATCATTACGCCAGTCTTCAGTGTCACATGATTAGTGGTCGACCGATATTGGTTTTTTGACAGCCGATGCCGATATCTTGGAAAGCAGGATGGCCGATATAATTGTATTTATTTTAATTAATATTTAAGAAATTTGAAATCATTTGAAAATGGATAAAAAAATTAATTTGTAAGATAAAACATACTTATACTTTAGATGACAATGTATTTTCCACAAATAAATATTTAATAAAAATATAATTAAAAAGGATTGGGAATAATTTTTTATATATTTTTTTTCAAATAAAGCCAAGGTAACACTCATTGTTACCAGATGAGTGTCTGTTTCACAGCACACAGTGAAAATGACATGAATATGACAGTGGGCAAATGCATAAAGCCCAGCATAATTTGAAATCAAGAATTTAATGTTTAAAGCATTCAATTTGCACGGACCGACTGTCACGCAGAGAACATGCGATCATGCAGGTCACATGCACACTTTACAAGATCTCACAACTAGGGGTGTGCGATATATGTCGTTTGCGATAATATCGTAATTGTTGTTTTAACGACGTGCGATTTGACATTATCGAGTATTTTGCAAAAACCATTCAAAACATCCCTACAGAGCGCACGCATACATTACGTGAAGTCTAGACTAGTGCGCGTGCGCATTTAGTGTGTGTTCTTTCACTGCATGATTCAGTCTATTAAAATGCATTTAGAATGATCACAAATTCAAGAAATCAGTTTAAACTTATTGGAAAAGATTAATTTCTATCAGTATGAACTGACCACCACACAGAATATGAAGAATATTAAAAACATTAGGAGGCAGCTGTCTTCGGCAGTCCTTAAGGTAACAGCACAATAACACACTCAGCAAAATATCATCTAATTATCGTTATCGATAAAATCCCATAAAATATCGAGATATAATTTTTTGTCAATAGGGTTAGATAACACCCCTACTCACAACTGGATTCGACTAAGTTTGCAAGGTTTGTGAAATTAAATGTTCATTAGCCATTCAAAGATTTGTTTAAATTATGTAAATGCGTATTTGCTGAATGCCGACAGCAAACGAGAAAGTATTATAATGTTTGCCTTTCTATTATTAATAATATAAAAGCAATCGTTATAATATTTTTTGTATACATTTTAATTCCTTTGTTTAACAGTTCTATCTGATTATTAGACCGACTTCTATCCGTATTAGACAGAACTGTTAACGACGACAGCGAACAAGAGGGAGAATGTGAGCACTGTGTCAAAATAAAAGTCCCGCCTCGATCGCATCGGCCAAACAGAAAAACGTATCGGCCGATGCCGATATTTGAAAAATGCCAAATATCGACCGATATATCGGACTTGGCGATATATCGGTCGACCACTACATGAGTGTGAGTAAAGTGATGACCGATCGTTCAGTTTTGGTCAACTGAATGCAAAATTAACTTCCAGACACAACCATCATCAAATATTGGCATCAGGTTCTTGTTTTAACAGTGTGATTTTATCCGTTTGTCTAGGTTGTTCATGAGGAGGCCAGTTCTTCCTTCCAGAAATCTGCAGGCTCCTGTGAATCTGATGCTGCTGTGGTGAAATCAGCTCCGTTCACCGTATGCAGCGAGCAGGAGGAAGACCGTGTGGTTAGCAGGTCAGTTCTTCATTAGTCAGCACTTTTCTTGGATTAGATTAAAGTATTTACATTGAAATGTTTCATTTGTCTTTCTGCATGTGTTTTTCTCTCCTTGTGTCGTTCAGTGGAAGCTCAGTGAGGCGAGAGGACGACATGAATCACAGTGAGTTGATGTTTTTCCCCTCATTTACATCTGTACTGTGCATTTATTAACCATTGATTTGACTAGTAAAGAGTAAGGATGCACGATATTGGATTTTTTGCAGATATTTTCAACTCATTTTTGCCGATACCGATGTGTTTTCTTTTGTTTGGAAACAACACCAAGTCTTTCCTGTGCAGAGATTCTAAACAAATAATTTTTAATTTTGGTTAGTTTTTAACAAAAACTAATTTGTTAGAATTAAATAAACAATAACGAAGTTCTTTTATAATGAGAGTACATTGAAAGCTTTGAAAATAATTATAAATCAACTATAAATCAATCACTTTTTTTTTTTTTTTCAGACAGATGCAGTGGTAAGCTTAAAATTTGATTTAAAGATTTAACATTTGTAGACGGTCTAAAGAAAAAAAGAGTTGTAAACATTCTGAAAATCTTTCAGAGCTCATAATCTGTAAAAAAAAAAAAAAACATATTGCACATTAATAAATAAATCTGTATATATACAATTATTTAAAGGCACAATATGCAAGCCACAACTCCCATGATTCCACACGCCGTCATCAAACTACGCCTTTGTTTCTTTGTTTATTTTGAATACGGGCCCTCTAGCGGCGAAAATGACATATTGTGCCTTTAATTTACAAGTGTCATGTTTGTGATTTTTTTTTTCTTCTTATTCACGTAAGCTATATCTTCTGACCTTTAAATCAAAACATACTCGTGATTTTATGACATCAGTTACTGCTTTATTTAATCAGAAATACAATCTTGATGTTATTTGTGTATTTTACTTTCATTTTAATACAAGTAGGCCAACAGTGCCCCCTAGGGAATTAAAACTCCTTGCCTGACAGGCATTAGGACCCTGAGTAGTGACTGTTGAATCTATTGCGCACCAGACGCGTCGTTCTGTTCATGCATTCTCAGTTTAAATGCAGCGATCAAAAACAGTGAATCTAATCAACATTCAGGCAAAAATTTGCTTCAAGAATGACCACAATGCTGACTTGATCTCATGGTTAGCTCACCCTGAGCATATGATTTATTCGTCTTATCGGCAAGAAGACATATCGGCATAATTGTACATATCGGACCGATGTTTACATTTTAAGCCATTATCGGCCGATTCCGATATTGTTCCGATAATATCGTGCATCCCGAGTTAAAAGCGATCTGAGTGTAGCCACTAATATTGCATGAAGTGAATAGTTTAGCCTTTGTTTTTATGGTGAAATCAAAGCACATGCATGTGATTGTTTGTGATGATTGTGTATTTCAGGTGGAAGCGACGCTAAACTGCAGAAAACAGCAAAACCTTTCACTGTTTTTGATGAGAATACACTGACAAATAAAACGTAACAAACACTCGATTGCTTTTCTTTTGTTAGGTTTGCTTGTTCTTTCATTTATTTTTCTTTTCTGTTGTTCTTTTTCCTCGTTTCCTTTTTGTTATTTTTCTTTCGTTCATTCTCTTCCATTCTTTCCTACTTTTATTTGTTCTTTCTTTCTTTCTTTCTGTTTCTTTCTCTCCCTCTTTTTGTACTTTCTCTTTTGCTCATTCTTTATTCTTTCTTTTTCTTTTCTTTTTTCATTCGTTTTTCTTTCGTTCGTTCTCTCTGTTTTTATTTCTTTCCTTTAATTCTTTCTTTTTTCATTTTCTTTTCTCTCCTTTTATTATCTTTCTTTCGTTTGTTTGTTCTCTATTTTATTCATTCTCGTTTTTCTTTCTTTTTATCTTTCTTTCATTCTTTTCGTTCTCATTCTTTCATTTGTTTATTCGTTCTTTCTTTCATTTTTTTCTTTCTTCTGTTCGTTAATTTTCTTTCTTTCCTTCCTCTTTTTACTCTTTTTCTTTCATTAATACTCTTCCATTCTTTCCTACTTTTATTCATTTTCTTTCTTTCTTTCTCCCTCTTTTTGTACTTTCTCTTTTGCTCATTCTTCATTCTTTCTTTTTCTTAACTTTTTTCATTTGTTCGTTCTCTTTCTCTTTTTATTTTTCTTTTCTCTCACTCCTTTTATTATCTTTCTTTCGTTTGTTTGTTCTCTATTTTATTCATTCTCGTTTTTCTTTCTTTCTTTCTTTCTTTCTTTCTTTTTCTTTCTTTTTTTCAGTCCATGTTTCAGTTTAATTAACACTGCCTGTGTTTAATTTCTTGTTTGACTTTAAGATCGTCTTCAGCGAACCGTAACTCTCTGAAGCTGCCCACCTTGAGTCTGAAAGGGCCGAAGTCAAAAGCAGAGTTCGTCACTGACAAAGTGAGATCAGAGCTCATTCAGTGTTTGTAATGAATGTCCCAGATTTTCTGGTCCGTGGCAGTAATCATGCGTTCGTTTGTTAGCAGGACGCGTCCATCTCTCGCTCTGAGGAAGCCATCATCAACAGCCACCGGAATAAGACTCTGTGCCGGAGTCCAGAGGACACGTGTGAATTCGCCCGTGCCGCTCAGCTCGCCTCCAGTCCGTTTGCAGGAGTCGAGAGGACAAAAGCGTCCGAATCGGGACTGACGGAGAATCTGAGCCGAACGGCCCCAGAGTCCACTAAAGCACCGAGCTCTGACGCGAGCGCTGAGGAGAAAAAGCTCAGGTACTTCAGTCTGACTCATGTTCATTTACTGTCCTTAAGCTGCCTGGAAATGTTCTTAATTGGCATTAAAATGTCATGTTATTCCACTTGTTTTAAATGCAAAAACATAAAATAGGACTCATTTTCTTCAATTAATTCATGAAATTTAGTAGTTGCTTATGAATTTTTATTTACTTTTAGTTAGGGATGTAACGATTCGCTCAACTCACGATTCGATTCACGATTTTTTTTAACAAAATGAGATTTAAGACAAATTATGAATTAAATGTGTCCTTTTTATTATTGCTTGGACAAAATGCTGCACGTTTCTTTGTGAAATTGAAATATAACACTATACTAATGTACATGCATATTGCTCTTTTGTTAGTTTTGATTGCTTCTATTGTTCTCATTTATTAGTCGCTTTGGATAAAAGCGTCTGCTAAATGACAAAATTTAAATATAATGTAAATGTAAATAACAAAACTATATATTTTTTTTTTGGAAATTTTAAAACAAGCCCCAAATCAAATAAATAAGTAACACAAATAAAATAAATCTCTTCATATAAACAAACCAGGGCTTTGTTCCATTTAAAATTAGAGGCAACCACTGCATTTTAATCACGATCCAAACAAAGATGCTGCATACATGCAACATGAGCAGTTTTTAATCTGAATTAGATTGTATAATTTTGAAATTTGAAGCAAAAACAGAATGGTTTGACTTCAGTTTTGTGAAATTATGCATAAAAATATCAGCATGAAACAGAAACATCAGACGAGCTGAACGAGACGCAGATTCACTCTCTGCCAGCAGGTGTCGCTTAAATTGTTTTAATTGTACTTTTAGTTTTTGATATATATGTATTTATGAATTTATTTTTATTTTTGGGGTAAAATATTAACACGCTCTTTGAATATTACAAGTTCTTAACCGGTTTTGTGATATTTTCCCCAATATAGTGTGAAACTGCATTTGGGAATGGAGTGGATTATGTGGGCTAGAGTTTTTTTTTTTTTTGTATTTCCTTTAATTGAAATATTATTCTTACAGTGATTTACATTTATGCATTTGGCAGAGGCTTTCATCCAAAGTGACTCTTAACTAGGGTTGCAAAAAGGTGGAAAATTTCCAGTAAATTTCGGAAACGTTCCAGAAATGTTGGAAAATTTCCAGGATTTTTTGGAATATTCCAGGGATTCTTGGAAAGTTTACGGAAATTTACCGGAAATTTTCCACCCCTTTGCAATCCTACTCTTAACACATTTTTGTCTGAAAATGTTCATAATTGGCATAAAAATGTTATTCCGCTGCATTGCTTTTCCATAGTTTTTCTATGTAGATATGCACTAGACAGATGGCATTAATTGTTGCACGTCTTTTTCACCAACTTGCGCATGACATGGCATTAAAGTAAAAAAAAAAATGTTTAATTTCCAAATCGTTGCATCTTGCTTTTTTTAAATGCAAAAACATAAATTAGGCCTCATTTCCTTTTTCCCCCTTTTTTAAAATTGAATTTTATGCATTTATTTTATTTATTTACTTTGTGGTGAAATATTAACATTCAACTGCAACATTAACATAAATATTAACATTAACATGTTCTTTACAGGTTTTGTAATATTTACCCCAATATAGTATGAACCTGCATTTATTGTCTGTTATGTAACTAATTTCCAAGAGAAACTCATGGGAATGGATTTGGATTATGGTACACTCAAGTTTATATTACATTTCCTTTAAAGGGGTCATATGATGCTGCTAAAATACACATTTGGTGTAATGAAATGTGTTTATGTGGTTTAAAGTTCAAAAAACACATTATTTTCCACATACTGTACATTATTGTTTCTCCTCTATGCCCCGTCTTTCTGAAACGCGTTGATTTTTACAAAGCTCATCGTTCTGAAAAGCGAGGTGTGCTGTGATTGGCCAGCTATCCAGAGCGTTGTGATTGGCCGAATACCTCAAGCGTGAGATGGAAATGTTACGCCCCTCACCATACTGTGATGATGGCGTGTCCCGACCGGAGTGACGAGACAACATTAAAACCCATTACAAACGAGGCATTTGTTGCATCCAGTGAGGACATAATTACTGATTATAATGATTTATACTGTCTTTTTACGCGTTGCGTTGCATTGCATCGCGCTGCGTAAACATAAAACTCTGTCTGCATTTGTGATCGGAGAAATGACAAACAACAAG